CCTAATGATGAATACTGAATATCTTTTCATATGTGGTTTGGCCATTCATATTATCTTCTTTGGTGAAATATCTATTGAAGTCTTTTCCCCATTTTTAATACAATTTTTCTTTATAATTGAGTTGCAAGATTTCTTTATGTATTTGAGATTAAAGAACTTTATCATGTTTTTAACATGCTAATATTTTCTGCTATTCTGTGGCTTAACTTTTTATATTAAGTATCCTTTAAACTGTAAAAGTTTAAAAAATGCTAACGAAGTCCAATTTATCAGTTTTTCTTTTATGATTCATGCTTTTGGTGTCACATCTAAGAATTCTGCCTAACACAGGTTACAAAGATTTTCTTCTATGTTATCATCTAGAATTTTTATAGTTTTAGGTTTTACAATTAAGTATGTGATCTATTTTGAGATAATTTTTGTGTACTGTCTTAAGTATATAGCACAAAAATATGCCTAAGGCCATTTTTTAAACATACAGATATCCAATTCTCCAGCACCATTTGTTTAAAGACTATTCTTTCCCAACTGAACTGTCCTGGCATTTTTTTTCAAAAACCAAATCATCATAAATGTAAGAATTATTTCCGGATTCTCAATCCTGTTCCACTAATCTACATGCTCATCCTTTTGCCAATCACACATTCTTGATTATTTGAGATTAGTTAAATTTTAAAATTAGCTAGGGTCAGTCTCTTATTTTGTTCGTTTTCAAAACTGTTTTGGCTATTCTAGGTCCTTTGCATCTCCTTATAAATTTTAGAATCAGCTTGACAATTTCTCCAAAAGTCTTCTGGGATTTTGATAAGAATTTTGCTGACTCTGTAGATCAATTTGGGGAGAACCATGACTTTAACAACATTCAATCTTCCAATCTATGAACACAGACTGTCTATTTATTTAAATCTTCTTTAATTCCTTTCAGCAATGTCTCTGTAGTAAAAACATCTTGGTGCTTTTGTTAAATTTCTTCCTAAATATTTTATTTATTTTGATGACACGGTGAATAGTTTTCTTACTTTCATATTCAGATAATTTCTCACTACAGAATTGTTAAACTCGCCTCAGTTTGTAGAAAAAGTAAAAGCCATTAGGCTAGAATATTCTAATTTCCCTCCATTAAATCTATATACCTACTTCTCTCTGTATTTATGTTTTTACTTCTTTCCTTTTAAAATTGAGGATGATCCATTTCCTATCAAAGAACTGACCCTCTACGCCAGCGGTTCTCAACCTGTGGGTCGCGACCCCTTTGGGGGTTGAAAGACCCTTTCACAGGGGTCGCCTAAGACCATCGGAAAACAGATATATAATTACATATTGTTTATAGTAGCAAAATTACAGTTATGAAGTAGCAACGAAAATAATTTTATGGTTGGGGGTCACCACAACACGAGGAACTGTATTAAAGGGTCGCGGCATTAGGAAGGTTGAGAACCACTGCTCTATGCAGTCAGGATCCTGAACTTTGTTTTCTCAAGGACTTCTCTCATCTTCCTTCCTTCTTTTATTAATCCTAACAACTAAAATCATGCTGCAGTATTTCTTACACTCAACAAAGACTTCCTTTATATCCTCATACACCTCTATCTTCTACCCCATATCTGTTTCCTTTCAAAGGCAAACTTCTTTATAAAGCTATTTATACACCAAATTTCTAGGCCTGAGCTATCATGTAACCCCTCAAGTCACTTAAATCTGGCTTCCATCTCTACAAAGCCATGAAACTGGCTCATCTCAGTTACTGATGACCTCTAGGTTGTCAAAGCCAATGGCCCACATCTTCTCAACCTCTAAGTCAAACTCAATACAGTTAACTATCCTTTCCTTGAAAACTTGCATTACTTGGCATCCATGACATGATCCAATATACATTCCAATTTCCCTACAATCACTCTGGCTGTCCTTCTTACGCCTCCTTCCTAGTGGCCTTCCAGTTTACACAACCTCAGCGTTCTATTTCTAGCCAAACCTATACTCCCACAGTCTCTTCCTCAGAGATTTCACCTATTTTCATGGCTTTAAATATCACTAATACACTGATAATCTTCAAATTGATGTCTCCAAGCCAAATATCTGAGTTCCTTAAGATAACTGGTTCTCTCTGATAGAGGCCTACTTGACAATCTCAGAGGCTTCTGAGAACTCAAGACTGACTAAAGGAAACTCCTAAATTCACATTATCCCTCCTCCAAAATAAAACAAGCAAAAAACTAAAACAACAAAAAAACATTCTTTCCCAGCAATCCAATAATGACAACATCCAGCAATACCCCTGAGTTCTTCCCTCTTCCTTCAGTTTCACATCCAATCCATTATCATGACCTCCTATTTCTACCACCTAAAAATATCTCAAATATGTCCACTCCTCTCCATTCCACTAATGTAAGTCATTGTCCCCTACCTAAATTACTGTATATCTACTAGTCAATCTATTTCTGCTTGTCCCAGTATTTTCTTCTCTATACAGGAGGGTAATTTTTAAAAAATGTAATTCATATGATGCTACCTGCTGAACAAAATCTTTTAATATTTTTAAAAAATCTTTATTGTTCAAAGTATTACATATGTTCCCTTTTTCTCCTCTTGACCCTTTTCTAGCCTGTCCCCATCCCCCATCCCAGGCCTTCACCACCCTATTGTCTGTGTCCATGGGTTATGCATATATGCATACAAGTTCCTTTATCTCTTCCCAACCACCCTTCCACCCACACTCCCCCCACCACCTTCCCTCTGAGATTCAACAGTCTGTTCCATGCTTCTATGTCTTTGGATTTATTTTGTTCATTAGATTCTACATATGAGATCATGTTATACTTGTCTTTCTCTGACTGGCTTTGTTTGCTTAGCATAATACTCTCTAGGTCCCTCCATGCTGTCTCAAAAGGTAAGAAAGCCTTCTTTTTACTGCTGCATAGTATTCCGTGGTATAAATGGAATACGGGGTCAAATGGCAGTTTCATATTTAATTTTTTGAGGAAACTTCATACTGTTTTCCATAATGGCTGCATCAGTCTGCATTCCTACCAGCAGTGTACTAGGGTCCCCTTTTCTCCACATTCTCACCAGCACTTGTGTCATTTGTAGATGGTGGCCATTCTATCAGGTGTAATACCTCCTTGTCGTTTTAATTTGCATCTCTCTGATGATCAGTGACTTGGAGCATTTTTTCATATGTCTCTTGGCCGTCTGTATGTCCACTTTGGAGAAGTGTCTATTTAGGTCCTTTGCCCATTTTTTAATTGGACTGTTTGTCTTCCTTTTGTTAAGTTGTATGAGTTCCTTATATATTTTGCATATTAACCCTTTATCAGATGTATCATTGCCAAACATGTTCTCCCAAACAGTGGGCTCCCTTTTTGTTTTGTTGATGGTTTCTTTTGTTGTGCAGCTTTTTATTTTGATGTAGTCCCATTTGTTTACTTTCTCCTGTTTTCTTTGCCCTAGGAGATGTATCGTAAACATATTGCTACAAGAGATGTCTGAGACTTTGTTTTTTCTTTCTTTTTTATTTTATTGTTTAAAGTATTACATATGTCTCCTTTTTCCCCGAATGACACCTCGCCCCCCCAAGATGTCTGAGATTTTGCTCCTATGGTTTCTTCTAGGATTTTTATGGTTTCCCATCTTACATTTAAGTCTTTTATCCATTTTGAGTTTATTCTTGTGTATAGTAGAAGTTCGTGGTCTAGTTTCATTTTTTGCATGTATCTGTCCAATTTTCCCAACACCATTTATTGAAGAGACTTTTTGACTCCATTGTGTGTTCTTGCCTCCTTTGTCAAATATTAATTGAACATAATGGCTTGGGTCAATTTCTGGGTTCTCTGTTTTGTTCCATTGGTCTATATGTCTGTTCTTATGCAAGTACCAGGCAGTTTTGATTACAGTGACTTTGTAGTAAAACTTGACGTCTGGTATTGTGATTCCTCCAAGTTTGTTGTTCTTTCTCAATATTGCTGAGGCTATTCAGGGTCTTTGTTTCCATATAAATTTTTGGAGTTATTTGTTCTAGATCTGTGAAATATGCCATTGGTATTTTAATAGGGATTGCATTGAATCTGTAGATTGCTTTGGGTAGTATGGACATTTTAATGATGTTAATTCTACCAATCCATACACATGGTATATTCTTCCACTTGTTTATATCTTCCTCTAGCTCTTTTTTCAATGTCCTGTAGTTTTCCGAGTACAAGTCTTTTACCTCCTTGGTTAAGTTTATTCCTAACTATCTTAATTTTTTTGTTGCAGTGATAAATGGGATTGTTTGTTTAGTTTCACTTTCTAAGATTTTAGTTTTTGCCCATTGAGTATGATGTTGGCTATAGCTTTGTCATATATGGCCTTTATTATGTCGAGGTGTGCTCCCTCTACTCCCACTTCGCTGAGTTTTTATCAAAAATGGGTGTTAGGTTTTGTCAAATGCTTTTCCTGCATCTATTGATATATCATGTGATTTCTGTCTTTCAATTTGTTTGTGACATATCACATTTATTGATTTATGAATACTGTACCAGCCTTGCATCCCTGGAATAAATCCCAATTGGTCATGGTGTATGATCTTTTTAATATATTGCTGGATTCAATTTGCTAATATTTTGTTAAGGATTTTAGCATCTATGTTCATCAGGGATATTGGCTCCTTTAGTATTTTGTAATCCAAACTGCTTATCACTGTGTACAAGACCTGTAGCCATTCTCCGCTCTTGTTCATATTACTCCAACTTTTCATTTTCTCAAACACATTAAGCCCTTCACAGCATCAGGCCCTTTGCATGCTGTTCCCTCTATGTGAAACATCTCATTCTCTCTCCTTTACTTTATGTCTATGTCTCTTCAGTGAGGCCTTCCCTTACACCTAAGTAGATCCCCCCAGTCTCCCATGATACTCATATTAACTGTACACAGTTCTTTTCCATTTTTACTTTAGCACAAGTATAATCCAAGAAGGCAGGGGAAGATTTCTGGTTTTTCACTACTGCATATACGCCCCAAATATAAACAGTAACCATGAAGAAGTATTTATTAAAAATATACAAAACTTTAAGAAAGACATGTTCATTCAGCATTTCACAGATCCGTCTGCTCTTCCTTAAAACTCTTACTGTAGTAGTCCATGGGATGAACTTGACTAGGTTGGGGGGAGGTTGAAAACAAAATTATACACAAAATTTTGTTTAACTATGTTGTCTAAACAGATGTCCAGTGTGTATGCCAGAATCTCAAAGGAATCCAAAACCTAAGAGGTTAGAAGGAGATAAATGATAAATTCCAGTTTCATCATTTAACAAGATAAACTCAAATTCAACATACAATTCTTGAAACAAAATGAAGAAGAGATGTAATTTTTTTAAAATCTAAGTCCTATAATTTATCAAATCCCAATGAAATCTGGTGTATGATATGAACTTTAAAAAAGATCTCTGAGTCAAACTTATTATATCCTGATTTTTTAGGTCATGCCTATACGTATGCAATCCATCAGACATAAATTCCTTACACAGAGGTAAAGCAGGGAAAAGAAAAATGAAAATGCATCTATCACAGAAAAGACTATGGAAAAATGAAACATATATGAGGACAAACACTGGAAATGCAAAGTCTGTCACCCATTTAAAATTCTCATTGGCCATCTAGATGCCTTAAAGAACCAAGCACGATGGACCTCAAATCTCCCAAAGAATATAAAAAGAAATCAATTCCAGTGTCAAAATCATGAAGCAACTAATTTCAAGTCTTTGTGCTACTTTCTTAAGGTTGTGGTGAGAGTCTGAAAATCCAATCCAATCACTTCAGGTAGTGAGAATACCCAGATAGTAAGTGATTTGTTCAAGGTCACAAAGCCAGCTAGAGACAGGACTGGAACTTGCCTCCCATATTTAGTGCTCCTTACACAGATCTCTCATGCTCTTTACTGTTCCATCAAAATACTTAGCATGAATTCCCAAAATACTAAGATTCTAACCGTGGGACTTGGTTAAGGAAAAAAATAGACCAAAACTAGCACAATGTAATATAAAAAAAGAGACATTTTTAAAGTAAATATTACACTACATAAAGTCATTAAGTGTGACATTTTTCACAGTGTATGGTTTTTCAACTGTGTATAAGAAAGTGTCTAATTAAGGCAAGATTATTTTTATAGTTTCTTATAATTCTTTAGGGATTCAGGAATTACAAATGAAAATAATCCCTACTCCAGAATAACAAACCTGACATTTATTTGTATTAAGTTTATAATTTTCAGTGCATAATGAGGCTGTTTCCTATTTTAATCCTATCACTAATGAGTAGTTCTTATAATTGAACAAATTTTAAGAGAAAGACAAAATGGTTTATGTTTAATTCTTGTCACTTTCCCCCCATTAACTTAATGTGTTATTCAAATAGTCTAACAAGATATTGCTCAACACAAATGATCTAAAAGATTTTTTCAGCCTCATTAATAGGGTACATTGTTTATAACCTTCAACAAAGGAACAGTTAGTACTAGAAATTTTTATCAAATTATTACACATTCAAAGTTTATAAGAAGCTTTAAAACATTTCCCAGCAAAGAGGTTTTAAGCAAAAGCTAAGAAACATACTTATTAGCGTGGTAAATAGCATCCCTTCCCTAATCTTTAAAAAATAAAATAAATTATTTCTGGGAAAAAATATTTTTAAACCTCTATTTTCTTGTGCAGCAGACAGCAGAATTTCTTACAATTAAATCCTATAAAGACAGATTTTTCTCCCCCTGAGTTCTGCTCCTTTCTGGTGTGGAGCATAATTCTATAAAGTGTTAGCTATTCATATTCGCTTTGTGTATTGCCATACTGTCTCCATAAACAAACCCTTAAAGTCAGAACATACCTAAAGATGTTTGACAGTTGTAGTAATGTAAAATTGTGTGTCTGTGTGCCCATGATACCAACTTCAAGAATCTTCCTATTTCTCTTAAGTGGCTGTGTCTCAAGACATTATTATACATAAAACTATATACTATGTGAAGGAGAAAATCCATATATAACTCAAAACAAATAATTTAGAATATCCAGTCTTCATAAGAACGTTGGGCAAAACAATCACATGAACTGTGAAAGTACAAAAGAGCTGAGCCCAGCCGGTGTGTTTCAGTGGTTGAGCATCGACCTATGAACCAGGAGGTCACGGTTCGATTCCAGATCAGGGCACATGCCTGGGTTGCTCTTTCACTGATCCCCAGTGTGGGGAGTGCAGGAGGCAGTCAATCAATGATTTTCTCTCATCATTGATGTTTCCATCTCTCTCTCTCTCCCTCTCCCTTCCTCTCTGAAATCAATAAAATATATTTTTTAAAAAAGAAAGAATTGAGAGGTGCCAAGGGATAATGATAAGGAAGAGAGACTCTGTTCACTAACAAGTTATTTAATTTCTCTGCTTATCAAGTTCCTAGTTAAAAAACAAAAATAATATCCACTTCAGAGTTGTTGCAAGGATCAAATGAATTCCTCCATGGAAATTACTTGCCTGGTAAAAGAAACATAATAAGCACTCAATAAATGCCAGCTCCTTCCTCCTTCAGTTTTGGGCCCTCTGTTCTTTGTTCCTAGACTCATTCCCCAAGATGACTCAGCCTTCTCACGACTTTTATTAACAAAATGCTGAAAATGATTCCATCAATCAAAGCCCTGATGTATAGATGCATGCCCACAGTATGAGGAGCTATCTGTCCCCTGCCCCCAAGCAAGACACTTAGGTGATGAAAAAGAGACCCCAGACGCCTGAACTTCACTGTAAGAACCAGCACTTAGGTGGACAAATCTCTAACTGTTTCCAACCATCTCCTGGAGATTTCCACTGCTATCTCAAAATGCCGACATCAAACTCATTATCTCTTTTAAAAATTGGGCCCTCTTCCAGCCCCTTTTCTAATTGTGAGTGGGGTCCAACAGAGACTAATCCTTGTCCTAGTCTTCTTTCATCTTAATATCATCTAAATATCACCAAGTCTACCTTCATAATCTCTACTCTATCTCTAGCTTCATTTTCTGTCCTTCTGCCACCACAGGTCCAATCTCAGCACTAGTGATATTTTGGGCCAGATAATTATTTGCTGGGGGGTTGTCCTGTGCATTGTATGAAGTTTAGCAGCATCTCTCCCTTTTACCCACCAGATGCCACTAGAACTGCTCCCTCTCCCCAGTTGTGGCAACTCGCCTGCCCCAGGATAAAATAATTGTCCTCACCAATGCCTCCCGTCCTCCTATATTGGAGTACCATGGTCTAGATCACCACTTCGGACAAGCACTTAGAATCAGTCCCCAAATTCAACTCCAGTTTCTTCCCTCTACCTCCTGTTCTACTGATCTCCTAAAGACTTCCCAAAGCACTGTTTTTATGTGTCATTTCTCTTATATCTACAACTACCTGTTGCCTTCACAGTTCAAAGCTCTCCACCCAGCCTTGATCATCTGGCCTCAATTAAACATTATCCCACAAAGCATCTCACATAGTGACTACTCAGAAGCCCTTCAATAACAGACCTGTTTGTTCATCCAGCCACTCCTTTTCTATTCCTCTGTTGTCACCCTAGTTTGGATGCCCATTATCTAGCATCCACTTCAGACCACTGCACCAGCCTCCAAGCCCAGCCTCTACTCTCTTCCTCACTCAAAGTAAAAAACTACCAGTGAGCTCCACTGCCTATTGAAACATGAAATCTTCCATCTGTTCTTATAATCTTTCCTAATATGGTCTAATTCTATGTTCCATTGCCCGGAAAACATACTCTACCTTGGGTACAAGCTATCTGCTAGTCCTTGGAAAGGCTCCTGCACTTTCCACCTTTGGTCATGTTTTTTCTCTGCCTGGAAGTTCTCTTAATCCCACCGCCCTTCCTCCACACTAAACTCCATCAGAACTAAGAAGCCTCTCCGGATCATCCTTCCTTTGTACCTCTCCTATGGTATTCATGTTTTGCTTTATGTTACACATGTATATTCCTGTAACTTACAAGGTCCCTGAGAGCTTCTTACCCTATTGATACTGTGCAATGCCCAACCAGTGTTAGGTAGGTAACTCAACAGTATGTGAGTTTCCCCAAATGCTTCCCATTTAGAAAGCAATGGAGGGCTATGTTTTCAATCTCAAACTCCCTTAAGCCAATTAAGTTCACATTCCCTCGCTTTTATCCCACATTTTATGTCTTAAGCCAATTTTTAGATAAATTGCCTTCAAGATACCCAGAATGCCACTGCAATATATGTTACTGCAAGAATTCCACTGTAGGGATTTCTTATAGCTTCCAACTTGTAATTAAATCCTGAATATTTATGCTATTTAAGCTCTCTCTATATACAAAAAGGCAATAGATATTTTTCAATGTTAATAAAATTAAGCAAAACATGAAAATAAGTGGATTGAATTAAACATATTTTAAGCAAAGGTTAATTAACAATTTTGTCTATCTGAAATAATACATTTAAAATCCTAAATAAATGAGTCAGTTTATTTCCGCTCCCCCCAGCCCAAAGACATAACCATGGGTGGGGAATAGCCAGCCCTTGGGTCATGTAAGGCCCGAGAAATCATTTGGTCTGGCCCTGCCAAGGCAACCGTAGGTGGGATTCAAAATTCAATAAACCTAGGAGCTTTTTTTCATAGCAACATAAGTTTATATTAAGTTAATTATATTAAGCGAATGATGTTATCAATATCCAAATGGCCCTTAGCAGAAAAAAGGTTCCCCACCCAGGACATAAACCAAAATATAACATGGGAAGTTTCTCCTGAATTTTAGTTCCTAAGTGAGTTGAAAGTATGTTTTATTTCTACAAAAAGACCATGTTCTGACCAGACCAAAGCCATATGAAGAGAGTATATACCCCACACTGCAACTAACAGTCTTTAGAAAGGTCAGCAAACTATAGGCCCTGTTTTGTGTGCCCCTGAGGTAAGGCTGGTTTTTCCATTTTTTAAAGGCTTGTAAAAAACAAAGAAGAATATGCGACAGAGACTGTGGCAGCCAAAGCCTAAAACTCCCTGTTCAGCAACATGAATTTGAGACTCCTCGCTATGTAAGACGCCCAACTTTTTTCCTCCCAAGATTTTAAAAAAGAAATATAAAACATACATGATTATGCAAAAAAGATAGAATTCATTCATCTTAGCCACAGTTACTGCACAGGTAACTTCTAAAAGAGAGGCCTGTGTGAATTTTTATACTTCCCAGAATTTTTGTTTGGAAGAACTTGACTCTCATGGTATATGCTTGAAGAGTGAAGGTGCCTGGCCCCAGGTCACAGCGTCGGTTAACAACAGAATGGTGTCCAAGACCCAGGCCTCAAACCTCCTGAGCCAGTGCGCTCTGCACCGTAACTACGCATCGGGCTTTAAGTTTTGGAGATTTTGACAACTAGTTTCAACCATCATAAAGATGAAAGCTAAAAACCTGTTCCTGATTTGCTATTCAGACAGGCTCTTACTAGCAGTTATGAATCATTAAACAGTTAACATCCATGCCCACCACGTCCATTAGATAAGACCTTCTAGGAAGCCTTTTATTTTAAAAACGGATGTGATAGAGAAAGCTTCAAACTCGCTCGGCTTGCTCCTCTAGGACTACGGATGGAGGCGAATAAACACCTCCGACCCCCAGCTGCTCAATGCTCACCTCCCACCCCAAATCCACAAGTTCCACCAGATGCCGATCGGAGACCTGCCCCGTTCACACCAGCCGCACGTCCTCTTGTTAACTGTAAGTTCTTCTTGTGAACTACTCGCTGGGAGTTCCCATTTGTTAATCTCCCTAAGAATTTCACTTCTTTGTGGGGGAAAAAAAACCACACCCTGCTTCTTCGATTTCCAGATCTGTAAGATCCACTTCACCGTGTCTGCTCGGTTAATTCAAGAATGAAAACAAAACAAAACACACATTTTGCCTCTACGGATGACAGGACTACTCTGCACGATCCGAAGAGCTGTGTATACACAACAAGACTTGGGACTCAGACATGGCAACCACCCGAGAGTCTTCACCTGAAGTTGCTCTTCCAGGCTGGACATGACAGGTTCCGAGGGGCGGCCGCGAGAGGTGGTAAACAGACCCCGGCCCCACCGCCTCTTAGCCTGACTCTTCTCCCCCGAGAGCGACCCCCTTCCCCTCGACCGCGGCCGGCGGAGCGCGGGGCCCGGGCACCTGCGGCCTCCGCCGGGGACGGTGCAGCAGGGGCGGAGGGGGGGTGAGGTGTGTGTTTGGGGGGGAGGTGGGGGGGACCTGCCCACCGCCGTCCGCCCAGGAAACGGCACCCACTCCCTCCGCGGAGGCAAGGGCAGGAGGCCCGAGCGGCCGGGAAGACCCCGCGGAGGCCGGCAGGCCGGGCGCAGCGGAGCCGGCGCGGCGACCTCACCTGGAGGACCACGTCGCTGGGCAGCTGCGCGGCCCGGAACAGCTCCAGCACCCGCCCGTTGGCCGCCACCTTCTTGGTGCTCTCGATGTCGCAGTAGGAGAAGAGATCCGAGTAGTATTTCTGCTCCGCGTCGCTCAGCGTCAAGCCTTCCATCTTCGCCGCCGGCTCACGGCCCCCGGCCCGCAGGCCACACGCGGGGCCCGGCTTCCTCCGCGGCCCGCAGCGCCCGGGAGCCCGGCCTCGCGCGCGCGGGGGGCGCCCGAGCCGCAGGGCCCGGAGGTCGCCCGGCCGGGCTCGGCCGCCGCCGCCGCCGGCGAGGCCCGCGCAAGTCCCGGGCTCGGCTCGCGCGCGCGGCTCCGCTCGGGGGCCGCGGGGAGGAGGCGGGGGCGCGGCGGCGCGAGGCTCGGGCGGACTCCGCACGCCTTCGCCGCGGGTTCGAGTCTCCCCGGCTCCGCGCCGCTTCCCCCTGGACTTTCCGCCTCGGCTTCCCCTTCCGTCCACGCCCCCGGAGCGGCCGCACTTCCCAGAAAGTTGTGGGGCTCCGAGCCTAAAGTTTGGGGGTCTCCGGGCTGAGCGCGGCCGCCGCCCCGCCTCCCCGCGCCGCCATTGACTGCGCCCGGCCCGGCCCCCGACGCGCCGCACCGACACTGACAGCGGCCGCGCTCCAGACCCGGATGTGAGGCCGCGAGGAGAGAGCGCGAGAGGCAGAGAGGAACACCCACCGGGCGGCCGGCCGCTCCGGGAGAGCGGGGCGCAGCGCCCCCTGGTGGCCGGAGCCCGCGGCGGGGCCCGAGCCGCCCTCCCTCTGCGGGATGAGCCGGGACCGGGGGAGGCGGGATCGGGCGGGAGCAGCGTGCGGCTCGGCTCCTAAGGCTCCTAAAGAGCCGGGGAACCAGAGATCAGGGCTGCAGTGCGCATTGTTTCGGAGCTTCTGGCGCTCAGCGTCCGACCAGTATTTGATCGCGAGGGAACGTTGTTCAGGCTATGGTAGCCCTTCGTGCCTTTGTGATGTCAGTTTCTGAGAACGAATTCAGCGGCTGTGCGTGCTCTGGAGGGCTGTGAACACCCAATGCCTCTGGAAACTCTCCTCATCCAGACACGAGCACTGGGACGTCCGTGTCCCGCCCCCCCCCCCCCCCCCCCCCCCCCCCCCCCGCCACCCTGGTTTTAAGCCATGTTTACCTGAGAACACCTGCTGACTGGAGGGAAAACGGACGAGTTTTCTTTGCACAAAGTCGTCCTGGCACCAGGAACGTGGTGCTATCAGTTTACACCATCAGCTCCATAAGCCCCTCGTTTCTCCCTTGGGAAGCCGCTTGCACGGCTCTGTGGGTCCCCGACGGAGGGAATTCTGAAGGTATCTCAAGTAGAAAATCTTAACAAGAGTTTATACCTAACAAATACGAAGTATCTCAAAAGCAGCAGCTAAAGCAGAAGGATCCGGATTTTCCAGTTTGGGTTTTTATTTTTCTTCTACATGTTGCTCCCCAGAGGGCTGATCCTGCAAATTATTATTCTGGAATTCCAAAATAAAAAAGCAATGTAAAGCCAAGCTGCTTTTTTGTAACTCTCTGGCAGCAAAACCTGATGTGCCTCATTTGGAGGCAAAAATCCTAACTCACATGAGACTATTTGCAGTCTTTATATATGCCCCTTAGTGTCAATATTTATTCATTTTACTGTAGGCTTTAATTTTATATATATATGTATATATGTATGTATGTATATGTGTGTGTGTGTGTGTGTGTGTGTGTGTATGCACACACACTGTTCTAGGCATTATGTTACCATTCTTTGTTTAAAAAAGATGAGGGACTGTGGAGCTGTGAATATTTTCTAACTGAATAGTAGCATTTTATATAGACACAAATATCACATGCCATTAAGCACATATTTCCCCATCTCTAAAATTTTCAGTTTGCCACAGAGATACCTACCTGCACACCCCAACAGGGCACCTGCCACAGGTGGTCAGAGCCCCACAGGTGGCCTGTCTTCCACAGGTACAAATGGGAGGAACGCAGTGGAGTAGGGACTTGCCGGGGTCCAACCCCAGCAGGTCCAGGGGTTCCCAAAGGAGTAGACGGAGTCAGCGAAGAAGGAAGGACACGGAGACAGTGTTCAGTTGATCAGCAGCCTAGCCAGGATCTCCAGCCAGGATCTCCAGCCAAGTTCTGGTCTGGATCTCCAGAGAGGTTCTGCTGTTTATTGTCTTGTTACATCCGTATTTATCCCAGTTGATTTTAATCCTTTCAATTTCTATTACAAAGGTTAGGGCGTTTCTTATCTCCATTCCAGGGAGTAAAGATTATGTAGCTTAAGCATGATTGTAGTGATTAACTGCCCGCCTGGCACTTAGTTAAGGAGTTTCATCCCCTCCCTGACTTCAGGGAAAAATTCCTACCTGGGGAAACAACCTTTCTTGGAGAGGTGACCTTGGTTAAAACACACAGCGTTAAGGGGAGCAAACATATTAAGAACAGTATGCTATATATGCCAGGTCCCTTGAAACATATGCTGTGCAGATGTTTCTTTCCTGCAGCGACTGTGTCAAGCAGCAAGGATGGACCGGCTTCCGGCAGGGACTGGTTCACAGTTGTCTTCAGCGCTGTTTCCTCCACCTCCTTTCCCAGGCACCGAGGTCTCCCTTCCTGCCACTAAACTACTCCTGCCACGAACCTTTGCGTGGCTTGTTCTCTGACACCACTCAGGTCCCTGTTCACATATCACCTCCTCAAAGAGACCTCCCCTCGACACCTAATCTAAGATAACCCACTACTGCACACTAGCCCCTATCTGAATTATTTTCCTGTACAGCACTTTTTACTACTGTACTGGGCTGCATATCTGGCGCTTTGGCCAGACGGGTCATGCTGTGCTGTCTGTTCCTAAAACACATAGATAGGAAGGTACTGACATCAGGCCAGGCCTTGAGATATGGTCTCATGGCCCCTTCCCAGCACGCAGGCCTTCTTTCTCAGAAGGCCCGGAAGTCTCATTCCAAATTTGGGAGACAAAAGACTGGAAAAAGTATAAATAAAGAGAATTTCTCCCATATTGGGGGGCCCAGAATTTGAAAGACACATTTTTCTCTGGGCCTCCACAAAAGTTAATAATAAAATGTAACTCTTGCAGTCAGCACTGCAGTTCAGCCTCTGCTTTGGCAGGGTGCTGTAACTGTAGTCAGCTGGTCAGCTTAATAAAGGCTCTTAAGTTTAAATTCTGAGTCGGTGGTCTATCTCGCTGAATGAACCCATAACACTACCTGATATTAAAGTATGTATCCATTTATATTTTTAATAGCTAATAATTATGGAGTACTTACTGTGTTTTAGGCACTGTTCTAAAACTTTACACCAATTACTGCATTAATCACAACAACTCTAGGAAGTAGACCCTATTAGTATTTTTATTTGACAGATGAGGAAACTGAGGCACAAATGGGATAAGTAACTTATAAGTCACATTGTTATTAAGTGTCTGGATCTGGGATTCAAGATCCAGACAGTCTCAACTCCAAAATCACTACAGTGCCGTTCTTACTTGTTTAATTAAGTTTCTCCAGCTACCATCCCTGCATTTACCAGAAAATATTTGTTCATTGCCTGCCATCACTCCAAGGCCTGGTATGTGGCATGTAGTACTCATCAAGAGTTTGTTGAATGAATAAATGAACACATGGTGTGACGAGCCAGTCAAGACCATCATCTCCTAGTGTGGTTCCCTTAACTCTGCAAGCTCCAGCTCCATCCTCTGTGGCAACCTGAAATAATTATAGGATTGCTTCACTTCCAAGTTCTGGGATTCTGACATTCCCTTCTCAGTCCATATGTGCTACCCTTTTACTCTCGCCTCCCATTCCTCAAATAAGCCTGCTCATTATAACCTTCAGGTTCTCCTCTCTATCCAACACATAATTCATGTATTGAAAAATACCCTTGGAGCACCTTGTGCCAGTGTGAAAGGAACCGCAAGATCTTCTCCTCAGGGAGCACTCACTCCAGAGGCCTCCCAGTCAGCCATGCCAAGCACCCTCTGCAGCACCCCGAATCCTCCTTGTATTGTCCTTCCTCCCCACTCCCAATTCCTTGTCAAAGGCTAACACTGAATTGGCCACATGCGTTACAGGATGTTGAGTGGTTCTCTTCCTGTGGTCCTATTGCTCTGTGAGGCTTTCCTAGGACAGAGTAGGAGTTTTCTTGTTGATGACCAAGACCAACTTGAGGACAAAAGGTACCACATGTTCTAAAGAAAAACAATCAAATCAGGACCCCCCCCCCCCCCCCGCCGCCCCAGGTAAGGGCTTATTAGAAGCAACCGGATGGGCCCTACAGCTAGCAACCACAGCCTCAGCCCCACTGACCCACTCCCCAGGTGGGGAGGAACCTGGATCTGTGTCAGCTCGACACCAGACTGAGTTTCTGAGAGCCCTTCTAGACAAACACATCCTCCGTGGAGGCACGAGCTCAAAAAATCAGGGAGGCCTGGATGAAGGGGAGACCTTCTGGGCCCCTGGCTGAATGCTGGGTGGGCTTGGTGCTGGAGGGTTTGACAGTTTCACAAGTGAAAGAGATTTTTCTCTACATCTGTCACTTAAATTGATATTTCCAGGTTTGAAGGGAAAGAAATGATTTAACACATGGGCTCTTTGAGGTCAAGTCTATTTTCTTTCGGTTACATTTCTAGACATGTCAATTTTAAAAAGTGACATCATGAGAAAGCTATTTTAAAACACATGTTCTATATTATATAGCTACACATTTAAAGATGTTGGTTTTCAGGTAAGATCAAACAGTTGGTTACTGCCTGCAAATATCAACTGTTTTTTAATTGGAAATCTTTAAGTTTTAAAAATAAACTACATACAGTAAAATGTATTGTTTCTGATACACACTTCTATGAGTTTTGACAAACGTATATAGTCATGTAACCACCACCAAAAGCAAGATGGGGAACCATTCTGTGTCCCCCAAATTCCTTTCTGCTGCCCCTTTGTACTAACTCTGCCCTCTACTCTCAGCCCCTAGCAACCACTTTTTTCTTTTTCAATACCTTTTGCCTTTTCCAAAATGTACTTGTAAGTGAATTACCCATTTTTTATTTAAAAACTTTTTTTGTTGTTGAGATGTAATTGACTTTAACATTATGCTAGTTTCAGGTGTACAACATAATGATTTGATATTTGTATATATTGCAAAATGATCACCACACTAAGTCTAGTTAAAATTTATCACTACACATAGTTACAATTTTTTTTCTTGTGATGAGAACTTTTTAAGATTTACTCTGTTAGCAATTTTCAACTATGCAACTTAATATGAATCATTTCTTTTCCTCTTTTGGAGTCACCCTAAAGGACATAATCAATTAACTTTAAAAAATATTGTGTAGCCTCCAAAAACTGTATGCGGCAATCTTTTTTTTTTTTTTTAAATATATTTTATTGATTTTTTTACAGAGAGGAAGGGAGAGAGAGAGTTAGAAACATTGATGAGAGAGAAACATCGATCAGCTGCCTCCTGCACATCTCCTACTGGGGATATGCCCGCAACCCAGGTACATGCCCTTGACCAGAATCGAACCTGGGACCTTTCAATCCGCAGGCCGACGCCCTATCCACTGAGCCAAACCGGTTTCGGCTATGCGGCAATCTTTATACTACACTACCAATGGTATCTATTTTCATTACCTAAATCAGAGAGAATCATAAAATTATCAAAAAATTATCATTTT